AAACGAGTAAATTAGCCATTTTGGTTATTTATTAGAAATCCTTAATGTATATATTGGTAACATAATTGATTTCTGTAGTGTTTTAGTAACTCTGATAAATGACTGATGACAAGATTGACTGATGAGTACAGTAGGTGACAGCCACTAAGTCTAGTTGGCTAACAGCTTCTTATCGATTTCCTCTGAACCCTTTTTTCAGCTAACATTATATCAGAGTGTACAGCTGCATCGTCTTGCTTATTTTTATTTTATTGATCACACTGAATTATATAGTTACGCTGCTGACAGTTAAATGTCTTATTCTTTAATAATATTTCTGGATGCCATATGAACTTTGAATGTGAGAGGACTAAATTACTGTTTAATGTTTGGTATGAATACTACAAGTGCTCCGACTTTTTTGTGTATTACAGAGTTCAGAAGGATGAAATATCTAGATTTTATCGTCTGACAACAACAAGGAAAACATACTGATATATCTGTAAAACTTGGGTACTGTGGTAATAAGTAATTCCATAATAGTTTGTTTATTAAATATTATATCAAACAGTAAGTGAAACAGTATTATTATTTACTGGATGACAAAGTTTCAAACACAATTTATCGCTGTTCATAATCATTTCATCAATTATAATCACGCATGACTTCGAAACTTAAGTTGTATAGTTTTCTTTGTTCTCTCCTATTTGTCGTCGTCGGTGTGGTAGTAAATTTTCCAGATATCTGAGCGGACAGGTGTTGAATCATTCCCATTACACGTATTGGTTTGCAGTTGATTCGATAAGTACAGCTTCTGTTATCAATCTCTCCCTCCACCATGTTAGTTGTATTAGATTTTGAAATTGTCATCTTATCCCATCCAGTCTATTGTATGGTTGGGTGTAATTGCAGGTAGTGAGCGATATAGCTGAACTATTCTCTAGTTTTCTTATCTTATTCGGCTCAACTGATCTAGATTTTGTTGGTAGGTTTTCATCCTCGGCTAGTCTGACTGCTAGACCTTGTTCTACTACTACGACCCATGTATTTGACCTGACAGTCATTGCAGGCAGGGTAATATATAAATAAATATAAATATATAAATCTAGATCAGTTGAGCCGAATAAGATAAGAAATCTAGAGAATTGTTCTGCAGCTATAACACATACTACATGCAATTACACACAACCATACAATAGGCTGGATGGATGGGATTAGATGACAGTTTCAAAATCTAATACAACTAAAATGGTGGAGGGAGAGATTGATAACAGAAGCTTCGTTTATCGAATCAAGTGAAGAGAACACGTGTAATAGGAATAATTCAACGCCTGTCCAGGTGGATATCTGGAAAATTCTATTACCACGCCGACGACGACAAATTGGAGAGAACAAAGAAAACTAAAAAAAGTCAAGTTTCAAAGTCGTGTGTTATTATAATTGATGAAATGATTATGAACAATGAATAAATTTTATTTGAAACTGTATCATCCAGTAAATAATGATACTGTTTCACTGATTGTGTGATGTAATATCTAATAAACAAACTAATATGAAAACACTACTGAAGCTACATTCGAAACTGCATCTCCTCGAATTCAATGATATTCCAACTGTGGTGAATTTAAATCGAAATTCTATAGTAAATTAGCGTCGAGGGCACAGTGGTAAAATGCTCGCCGACCACACAAGTGGTTTCGGTTCGAAACCCCGGCCACCGATGCACCCAACCTTCGCCTCGCTTAGTCAGTAGCAAGACTAGTAAAGAAAGAAGGTTGGTGGACATGAGACTAGCAACCCCATTCTGTGAAAATAATCACCTCTGCTACAGAAACTTCAAGCTGGCTCTACCTTTAAGCCCCCTATGTTCCACTGGGGGAACGTAAAGTAATAGAAAAATTAGTAAATTTAATATTCCAAAAGAATAATTAGTCCTCAAATATTCTTGATTATAACTACCGTAAATACTTAGAATGAATGGAAATTCGTTACCTAAATAAACATATTTAATTTAATTTAAGATTTTCTCAACTATTGATTGGACCGAAACGCTCGGTCTCAGGACAAAGTGGTCCAGTGGACAACGCTTTGGCGTTTGGAACTATGGGCATTGGGTTCAAGCCTCGGGGTGGGAACATCATCATTCACTGTGGAATGCAGGTACACCCACTAGCTGACGAGTACCGAAGAGGACGAAATGCCCATCCTGGCTGGATTCCGCTGCTAGTCACCATGCACCAATTAATTAAATAAACATAGTTTTATACCTATACTAAATTCTGGAACCTATGAGAAGTATATGTGAAACCTATAAATGGGTTCCACATCCCAGTTGAGCGTCATTCATTATGACTGACTTCATAAAATATAAGATTATTAATGACAAGACTTTAACAAAGATTTTTATCAAGGAATGATATCAGTTAAGGACTACTAGATACTATGTGGAGCAGTTGGATAGCTGTTGTGTTCTGACAATGCACACGAAATCTACATTGACACTACTTATATCTTCACAAACATGAATTTTAACTGTGAATGCCTTCTTGGCTGTTATCTCTAATCTTTATCCCTCTCACTAGTTAATCGGTGTATAAAGGAATTATAAATACAACATAAGAGGTAGGTACTTCATAGAATTGAATGGTTCTACCACTTGTTCAACTTTTGCGTCAAGAATATGATTGAGCTAACCATCTTGTCATGACACCATTAGTAGGAATTTAATGAGAAGTTTATGAAGAAGTGATAAATTTTACACAACGAAGGAATACACATAGTTCCGGATTTATCAGTAGTAATATCAAAAGGAATCGGAAAGACAAGCCATACGCCTTCATCAATCTGAAAGCAGTTTGAAAATCTTCTGCTGTCACTCAGCCAGCATACTGAACAAGATACGGATTCTATTCAACACCATTGTGAAGTCGGTTCTTCTGCACGGGTCCGAAACTTGCACTGAGTGTCACAAGAAAAGGATTTCCAACAGTCTGTTGCAGGCTTTCATCAACAGTTGCCCACTTTACTGGCTGGCTCCATACTGAAGATCAAATTGCCGGCCATCTAGCCAGAAAGAATTAGCAACAAGAAACTATGGGCACAAACCAACCAAGAATCGAATGCTCAGCAAATATGTAGGATAAAATGGAGATGGATAGGGCATTTATAAAGGAGACTGATCTATATATATATATATGTGTGTATGGTGATCTCTCTTTCTGTTGCTCTCTTAGTCTGTGACCATTTCACTTTGATGAACCTGTCTCCTTTAACAATGTATATTCCCCTTATATTATATATAATATGAGTGTTTGTTGACAGTCCGTTGCTTGGTGACATATATCCATAACATATATGTGTGGTTGTTGACATGTCTGCTATATTTTGCTATGTATATATGGATCGATACTTCATTATAATTAGCCAACCATCTTAAGACTGTCTATTGATTGTTCACACACTTGTCTGGACATGAATAATATTTTGCATTCACATTCTTGTGTGACACTTTTGCATTCCCTTGTGTTTGGAAATAGAAGTATCATCGCAAACCTAGTGGTCTTCTGATTTCCGTCTTTCTCGCGTCAGGACTATTAAATTCTCGACCAGTACATAGCAATAATTTGGCGACGGCGAAAACTACTATTAATCACTCAGCAGCAGCAACATAACAGAGACCACCAAATGGTATCGCACGCCAGGCCCTCCAGTGGAAGCCGAATGGGTCCCAGTGCAAGGGTGATAAGGAGGAGATCATGTTAAAGGAGGAGATGAGAGAGTTTGGTCTGTCGTCGATCCATCTGAGGAGGACGGCAGAAAACAGAACACAGTGGAAATGTGTTGTTGAAGCCAGGCCTATGTTTCACTCGGAACGCAACGGGATTAATGATAATATCAAAGTTGATTATCATTTCTCTTGAGGAGGTACTAAACCACCGAATTAATCATTTGACTCGTGTATTCCAGCTCTTCACAAAACTTTATATAGTTGGAGCAAACTTTCTTCCTCACATCTGACTTAAATTTTACCACCAATCACCCAAGAGAAATTTAAACAACCTATCTGATTGACAGCCATTAGTGAGAAATATTCACGAAGGTATTGGCAAATTCGTTTCAGGTGTTTCGTTTTGCGGAGATTTGATCAATTTCTAGTTTAATGATGAAGGGAATTCAGTTACAGAACCACTATCGATTCTGTCTGTCTGTTTTCGACCTAGAACTTTCCACCGATGTGCACCAGTTCAAGTTGCCACACTCCCTCCATTTAGCACACATAACAAGAGAGGAAAGTGAAAAGAAATGCATAATAGATACAGTAAACAGAGGTGTGAGATAAAAGGAATATTAATAACGAAGAACAATATAGTTTCATTGGAAATTATAAGTCACAAGGAGTGGATGCATCTGTACCTGGGCCACTGAGAACGATTTTGAACCATATCACTAATTGTCTTCAGCCTTCATCGGTTTTTACCGTCCTGAGGACCCCAACCAGTCGGGAAGTCTACACCTCGCTTCCTACGTGTCTGGCTTAAACTAACTGTTGTGGAATTCACTGACTAACGAAGCCATGTTTTGGTTTGACTGCCGCTAGCTCTTTTCCAATCTGACTCTACGTCAGCGACCGCATTATCGATTGCGAGATCTACCACAAATTGTCAGATGTTATAATTTATAGTCGAGCCATTACATTGCATCCCTGGCGACTTTGTAACCATGACACTTCTTAGCTCTACGCCTGGTGGCTGTTGGGGAGGGGAGTCATGGATTCACACTACCAAAGAAAGATGAAATAACTTTCCCCTACTGCCAGTTGAAGTCAGTTCTTAATCAAATTTTAAACTTGATTTCAACTCAGCCGCATTGCTTACTACAAATTCTGTTCCGTCTTTTTTAAATTCTTTTTCATATGGTCTCGGGGATTCGCAACACTTACGAACCCCTGTGAGACAACTTCTTAAAAACATTAAAAACACGTTCAAACACCCACACACACACACTCACTCGCATATACTTACCGTAATAATATAAACTGAATACTGTGTCACGTTTTAAATTAGTAATTTTAAATATCGCTTTAGCAATCCACTCGAGATTCAATGATTTCGGTGATCCATAATACTGAATTCGACATACTTCAAGATTATTATCAGATCTTAAAGATGGGAAAATAAATTTCACCAACATTTTAATATTGTTGCTGTTTTTCTTTGAATTTATTGTATTGTGTTGTAATTGGATAATAATGATGATGAGAAATGATCTTTCAGTTGAAGGCACTCCTCTATCACGTCGAGGTCAATAGATCCAAAGCATTAAGTTGTAAATAACTTCTACGTGTGCTGTATGTACTATTAACTATGATGAAATAGTATCAGGTGTCTAGCTGAATATATATATATATATATATATATACATGTTTATATGTGTGTAGGCATGAGGTTTCATGTGACTTCTTGCATCACACGAAATCAACCAACCAAACTTTGAGCATTCGACTTTATATGCACACACACACACACACACAACTATGACAGTGGTAGTTGCCTGTAAAATAACAGTAACAATAATAACACATATACGTTAAAATATTTATAGAAATGTGAAGTGCCTTTTTATGTTTATTTCTACTCTACAAGAATACTAAACACACAAAAGGAATTGTATACAAACACTATTCAAGAAAGGCTAGACAGGACTCGCTGCAGAACTCCTTCCCAACCTAAGGAAAATTAAAGAAAGATATCTTATGGATGTGTCTTCCAAAAGAATGCGTCGGTGGCACAGTGGTTAGGACTCTCGCCATCCATGCACATGGTCCGGGTTTCGAGCCCACGCTGGCGCACACCTGATATCTATGGTCGGCCTGCAAAATTTGGGCTACCGATATCCATGCTGAAAATTCCATGCTTGTACCAAAAATACGGTGTGGAATCAAGCTGTAAATCAAAAATAAAATAAAAAATAAAGACATCTAACCCCAAAGCTACCAATCTGTCAAATCAAAGGCCCCCAAGGATATTGAAAATAAAATCACCCTAATATATATAAAGGATATCTCAGAAATGATTGCAAGACTCTTCAAACCTTTAGGAATTAATGTCGCATACAAGTCAACAAAATCACTTCACTCAGCCAGTCAGACCTGTGTCAACCAAATGACTCAACAACAAAAGAAGATAAAACCAACATCATCTACAAAATAAATTGTAACAACTGTGAATAAAAAACACTACATTGACGAAAGTGGACGCCCTTGTTCTTCGTTTTCGTATCCATGATCACAAGCTAGCCGTCAAAAGACATGACATCCACTCCCTGCCTCATATTCACTCGATGAACAAGGATTCAGTGATTAACCTCTCTCTCCACCTACCTACATGACTTCTTAGAATTTTAACCCTCTCCCACCCACCCTATTGTGTGGTTGTGTGTTAGCGCATGCAATGCAATTGCTGAGTTGTTTTCTAAATTACTTATCTTCGTGGAATCAACCATTCTAAACTTAGCTAAATTTTCATATTCTGACAATCTGACTACACCGACCTACTAGTTTGAACTTTGTGGTTGACCTTACAGACATTGCAAGGTATTTTGGTAAATTATATTATTCAGTCTAATTGGGTCAACCGACAAGATCCTTTAGCCTACACAGCTTGTCCCTCATTGAGTTTGTAGGTTTAAATACCAATCTAATTCCTGCTTTATCAAGAATCTTAAGCAGGGTCTCAAATGCCTTATACTCTCTCTTATTTGTGTTATCATTATTAGTTTTACCATTATTTCTATTTTTATTTTGGTCTTTTATAATCTTTTCAATGAATTTTATAGGAAAGTTAGTTATTTGACACCAAAGCTTCCTCTTCTATCTGTTTTATTTCATCATTTAGGTCTTTTCTTGTACTACTTGGTGCTCTTGTTCGGTTTTTTAGTCACTTAACTAAGCCAGCCTTAACAGTTAACGGATGAGATGAATTGTAGCCTAAGTATCTATTAAAATGAGTTGGATTTTTATAAGCGCTGGTGTTTAGTTTGTCTTCTTCTATTCGTTTTATTTAACAATCTATCATAGCTAATTCTCCTAGTTCATTTTCTGATTCAAATGTGAATTTTATTCCCTCTACTTGTGAGTTTATGCGTGTCAAGAAGCTAGTGAGAGAGAGATATGTTCTGTTTTCAACACTGTGAAAAGTTATCTACACATCTCTACCATATTTGTGGAGTAGGATTAAATGCATTAAGAGCAATAGCTTCCCGGCTATCCTGAAAGATATAAGATATGGTTGGGGGATATTAGTGATCCCATTGCTACACCTTCTGTTTGTCTATATATTTTATCTTGGAATTTAAAGATAGTGGATGTGAGGCATAACTGAATTCTTAAAATGATTTCCTCAGTGGGTAGTTTCGTCTCATAAGTGAGTTCAGGGTCTTTTTTAACTGCTTCTAAAGCTGCCATATTGATTGGTATATTGTTATAAAGACTAGTTATATCAAAACTAACCATTGTCTCATCATTCTCTAGTGGTTGAATGTTATTTAGTTTATTTTTCATGTCATATGAACTACTACTCAGCTAGCCTAGAGTTTGAACGATTTCTAGCGGGACATAATATTAGAGCTAAGTGTTTTGATAATTCATAAGCAGGGGGTATTTCTGAAATCTACTATTTGTCGTAACTTTACTATTACTCTGACGCTTATGGTGATTTTGGTGGACTGGATCATACAACAGACTATAGGGAACGAGAAGAAAGGAATACACTGAACTAATAAGAAGGCTGTAGAAGACCTGGAGGTTGTGAATGATCTATGCCTAGTGTCATATAAACTTGAATGATCTACAGGCAACAACCAACAGAATGGTAAATCAGGCAGCTGGTGAAGACAGGTGTTCAAGCGAACTTAGAGAAAATGGACACGATAATATTATCTAACTAATAACAACTATGACAGACATCAATCACTGTCAGTAGGAGAAATTTAAAAGAGATCGCTTCCTTCACCTATCATCGGCAACACTGTTTCAACTACAGGTGGATGGCACGATTGAAAATGTCATAATCAGAATCGTCAATGACAAAGAAATCTGCTATGCTCAGCTTGAATGAACAAAATTCAGATTTTTAACATTAATGTTAAGTTATTTTTATACATGGGTTAGAGACTTTTCGTGTCGCAGAAAGCATTTCCAAAAGGCTAATGCAAAATTTCATTAACAGCTATCTTCTCTCATTCCTGGATATCAGATGGCCAGCTGGAAAAAAATAAGCGCAGCAGGAGACTTTGAAAAATAAACCATGCAACAGCATATTGCTTAAACAAATATGCCAAAGGAAATAGAGATTGGTTGGACACATGGTACAGTAGGCCGTTCAGTGGAATCCGAATGGGAAGCGGAGATTTGGGCTAGGGTTTGTAGGTAACATGGAAGAGATCGTTTTGGAAGGGGGTTGGGGCTTATGTATAATCCTGAAGCCAGTTAAATGGAATTGTAGATAACAGGAGAAAATTGAGATGTGTTACTTTTGAAGGGCTGTGTTCCATTCGCAACCCAAGAGGACAATAATAATACAGTTACTCTTCTGTTGGTAAGCAAAATGACTAACAAACATGTACCAATCATTGGATTCGAAAGTACCTGATTTATTAAAAGCAACCTGTGTTTACGTAATAAAGACAGTAGTCATCATATTTAAGTAGAATAAGGTATTTCGTCTGACGGGGTTGGTTCCACGTAGGATTGCGAACTAATACTTCATTCTCATTCAATAAAATCTAGTTTCCTTTTTATGTGAAGTGTTTCAGTGGTGAGAGCTCTGTCTGCAAGACAAAATAGTAGACAACAATTTACGTCAATGTTACATCCGGAATCAGGGTAGAAAAAAAACAATAATGGAGCCTAACCTTGAGGAACCCAACAACCAATCACAGCAGACTTAGCGTGGGCAGGTAAGATTAGTAGATATATCATGGGACTGTCTAAGAAACAACCACAAACAGATAACAGAATAAGCTTTAGAAGGAAAACAACCAACACTACTTCTCTGATAAAAATAACGAATAATACTGTATATATATATATATATATAAACCATCACTTGAATACCAATGAGATGCTCACTGGCGACTGGCCCTATTCAGGTAGGTAGTTACCTGGGTTCCAATGGAAAGTCGTGACCAGTAGGGTGCAGCCGGTCGGATGTGAGGACAAATACTCGCCGAAGACATTGGCTAGCGGTCGCGCTATGTCGTGAACTGGCAGAAGTTAGAATTCAAGGACCATTGGATCGGGTCCCAGTGGCTTAATGGTATACGAGCTCGCCTTGTAACCGGAAGGTCCTGGGTTCGAATCCGGTGGGTGCGTACTGCTGAAGAGTCCCAAACTAGGACGAAACAGCTGTCCAGTACTCCAGGTTTTCCAATGGTTCTCTAACTAATGTCATCTCATGATGAAATCCTGAAACCAATCAAATCCCTACAAACCATCACTTGAATACTATAAATATCTGTTGATTTCCTCAATAAACGATCTGTTTCCTGGCCTTTGTCTTCTGTTGTTACACTTCTATTTCCTGAATCATTCCAAACTTGTCAGAGTTAGTCTTCCAGCCTTGTTCTGAGTTGTGTTAATATATATGTATAAAAGTAGTATATGTATAAGGATTGAGATAGTTAAATATTTCGTCACCACTAGCCATTCCATCCCAACAAACGCATCTATCAAAGTAATATACAAAGTGAAGAACAACCTACCAAAGGCAGTATACTTTCATCTCCTTCGTATTACTGAAGTCTTAAGCTAGAGAAACCAGAACTGTGTATTCAAGAGAAAATTATTCAACTACTTCTACGAACATTGGTAACAGCCGTATTGACTCCTACTGACTTCATGTTGGTGTGTTTGCTTTTTTCTAACTCCTTGTAACATTTGCCATTTTAGAACTCTTAAAGAATTTCATATTTTCCTTTGTTTCTGTGTGCAGTCTAATCACAACTTATTTATTAGTCTTCTCATCCTATTATGTAACTATTGTTATTAATTATTGTTCCCTTGGGTTCCTAGTGGAACATAGGGCTTCTGTCTTCTGCTGTACTTTTCGCCTGCATCCATCCATGTCAGTCCATACTGTTTCAACTACTCCTCTTCACACGATCTCCTCCATGTCACCCTTTCACTGACGACGACCCACTCGCCGCTTCCCTTTCGGCTTAATTCCACTCGAGCAATGGCCTGACGTGCGCATGATGTCACCAACCGGCGGCCTCCTCAGCGAGCGAGTGTCCAATCCATCCATCTCCACTTTCTCCAGCATATTTGTTGGTTGGCGATTGGTTCTTGTTTTGTTTGTTTGTTCCATGCCATAGTTTCTCTTTT